AGCGTGTGTCATTAGGGTTGATGGCCTTCGTGAAGCAATTGCTTTCCCTTGCAGGCTATCTGGGAGTCATTTCTAAGGAGCGGCGTGTTATCCCACGCGATCCAAGTTAGCTGGTGAGACTGACCTACAACCGTTCAGGCTCATCATCTTCAGAGCAGACCCTTCAAAGGGCTTGAAGCAAAGGTCCTCATGCTCTGGCGTGTCCGTCTGCGCCCACGTGCTGGTGCTTAAACTGGTCTGCAGCAGCGGAGTGTGGGAGGAAGCATGAGAAATCAGCTAGTCTGCTGCCAAGGCAGGGCTGAGTGCCTCTAAGCTAGTCCTGACAGGCAGCTGTCTCGCCTATTTTTAGCAATTTGCTGGTGATGGAGAGAGCAGTGATGGAATAAATCCTCGCTGGCAGCTGATTCCAGTGTTCCCCTGTGCTTAATATTAAATGCTTTCTGTGTATGTATATGTGTGTGTGTATGCACAGGCTTCTCCTTCTTTCCCCAGTGTGTAAGTCTCTTCCCTTGGGATTTCCTTAGGCACGTCCTGCATCTTGTCCTGTCCTTGCTGGACCAAGAGAACAGTCCTGCAGCAACCGTTTTATATATATTACAGTTATCTCGCCTTCCTCTTTTCCATCTTACTTTTAGCAACCTGACTTATTTAGATTAGTTTTTCCCACAGCGTGTTCTGGACCCTTAACCATGCCTGCTGATCCCTGTTGGATCTTCTCTGGTTGGTCCAGCTCTTCCTTGGAGCGCACCGTCAGTAGCTGAAGGTGCTTTTGGTGGGGACGTTCCTGCTGCTGGCTGGGGTGGAAGGAAGGATATGCACATCTCACGGACTACGCTGCTGGCTCCTTATGTTCTTAGACCTATTTTAGGCAATGGCTGGTATCCAGAGCTGTCTCCTCAGTCTAATTGTTCACGTTCACCTCTGGAATCTGTCTTAATTTTGGTGTGTTCGTTGCAGTTCTTGCCACAAATTCATTGTGCTAATTTATGTCATTGTCAAGTACCGTGAAAGATGGGGAAGGAAGCAAAGTAGTAAGAAGTCCTGTGAGCTGGGTCACATCCTGAAAAATTGGGCTGTGGATCTTCATTGTTTCTGGTTAATTTCTTATTAAAGTTTCAGCTAACTAATTTAGTCACTGAATATGGTTGAGCTGAGGGCGAGACAGTCCTCCTTGCTGAAAGTACTCCCAGTCCCTGGAGGTTGCCTATTTTTATGAATGTTGTGTCCAAGCTTGCTTTTGCATTTCAATATGAAAGCCTGAAGTTTTAAGTGGTTTTTAAAGCTCACTTGGATGTCTCCAGATGTTTACCCAGAAGAAGAGTGGTAACTCTAGTCAACTGAAGAACACGTCTGTCAGGTAGGATTCCTCTCTCCTGCTTCTGGTTTGGTAGCAATGTTTTTGCTGACTCCTGAGTGCCCAACTTCTTGTTAGATCTCCTACATTTCCTTCTGAGACTAAATAGCATCTGATAGCTAAATACTTTCCTACTGCCCCCAGGATTAGAATAACTGAGTGCTGTTGTCTCTGGCACAAAGCTTTGTTATTTTAGCACACTGTTCTGCTTCTATCACTCAAAGAAGAAAAATACTTTAAAGTGAGGGATTGTGATGTCTCTAACTGTAAGACATGCAACTGTGTAGTATTGTGCCAATGCCTGGTGTGAGTCCCAGGATCCTCGGTGGAGGGTATATCCTGTGATTCCATGTGTTTGACTTCCTTAAAGAATGATTTGCTAAGTGAGAATTTAGCATCGAGTGCTCCTTTGGGGTAGCTAGGTGGTTTTCTTTGGGGATGATGAACCTAATCTTAGATTTGGCTGTTGGCTTTTTCCAAGGATTCAAAGAAGAGGTTACTAAGTAGGTGGGAAATACACGCTTTGCCTCAAATTCAACTCACTGGGGGGGACACACACACACGGACCAGGGGGGCTGGAGCCTGGCAGCTGGGATCCAGGGCAGGCACGCTTCGTGGAAAGAGGCTGGCAGCTAGTCTTGGCACACGGTGAAGGGAGTCTTTGTATTTTCATTTCCTTTTTGTGCCGAAGCTGTAGCAACAGGTGTCCCATTGGAAAGTCAATCTCATCAAAAAAGGAGGTGAAGAGCCTTCAGTTGCTGATGGCAGTCCAGCAGGGTGGATGTTTCTGGAGCTATGGGGTTTTTCCAGCCATATTCTGACATCTGCATTGAAAGACTCCTTTATGTAGGTGCAGTATGGCAGTTGCAGTTGTTGGTAGCCAAGGATTTCAACAGAGGATGGTTGTGCGGGATGTAAAACACACAGAGTAGTAGGGGTACGTGGAGAGCAGATCCTTCAGTGGTTAATTCAGTGAGTAGTTTGGGCTGTGGCCTGGAGCTGAGGAATAGCAGGTACTGTTTAAAACCTTGCTTGAGAAGTAGACTACAAACTCTGCATTTATTCTCGTAGCTCGTTTTGCTTGTATGCTGGGATGGTGATCTAAATGGAGAGCAGAGTTAATTACAAGGGAAAAAAAGCTGACTGTATTCAAACAGCCTGCATCTGTATTGCTGTACCCAACTGGTTTGACAGTGTGATAGATAGAAGGAATACGTGGGATTTGCTGAAAACGTTTGATTTTGAATTTCATCTATCCCTTCCCTGGTTTGTTAGCTGTCAGTCAAGCATTTCAGGAGCAAATGTTTACTGATACAGGTATTCTCTGGCATGTTTCATATAGAATAGCTTGGTTGTGTAGATAAGCAATCAATTTTCTGCTGCTTTTCTGTCCCCAGGACCTTTTCCCAAGAGATTCTTTCAGAGCTACTTAAGACAGGAGTCCTGCCTACACAAAGGCTTTCCTTGTCAGTGCTGCTGGTGTAGCCTCAGCTGGCAACAACTTATTCTAGCAAACTGCGTATCAGCCAAAACCACAATTCCGCATGGATGTGCTAGTGCTGATAAAACTTTCAGGAGAGGTGCCAGCGTGGACTTCATGTTCCAAGAGACAGATCATTGCCTGGCTCTTTTGGGGAAATAATTTCCCTATCTTAAGATGCTTGTGGAGGGCTCAGGTTTGGATCCTGTCTCTGAAAGTTTGGTTCAGTGGAGTTCTTAAAGATGATGCTTTGCTTCAAGACTTAAGAAAATATATTGGCAAATAAAGGCTTGGGACCTTTTCAGAAAGGAGGGACTGGCATGTTAGACTCCATTTTGTGTGGAAAGGCACGGTTAGTACTGTCCTTCACTAAGCATTTGTGTATTTTATTACATCAAAACCTTGTGATGGAGTTGTATTCTGTCCCAGCGTGGGCTAGAAACCTCTGAACTGCTTTAACCGAGCCTTAGTGCCGTGGGTTATTGCATTTCAAAGCAATGCTGGCCTCTTGGTGGTGGTTCAAGTGCTTTTGGTACTTTGCTGAAATAGTTGTCACCATATGATCAAAAGTTAATTTGCTTTCATCATGATTCACTCTATTCTTAAGTAGGCTTTTGGGGAGTTTATTCTAGAATAATAAAGTTTTTGCTTCCCACCAGTACTGTGGATGGGTTTGAGTTCTTTAGCCTTTCCACATCTATCCTGTACTGTGACTGTTTGTGGATTACTGGATGCTAGTAAGGAGTGAGTTGTTTTGGTTTTTTGTGGTTTTTTTTTTTTTTTGGTAGCATTTAAATTAATTGAAGGACCACCTACCCTCATTTCTTCTTCTTGGAAGATGATGCGCTAAGATTCCCTCAAAGCCGTGTATTGCTGGGGAGACAGGCACAGACTCTTCTCTGTTAATTTTATGTACCACATCTGTGTTTTCTAGGAAACTGGTAGGATGAAATATGCGTAGCCTTTTGCTTGGAGCTTAGGAGACCTCAAAAATCTTGATTTGTTTTTCTTTTTCTCCCAAGGCAGCCTTTTTTGAATAAATTAATGCAGCTGTAAGTGACCATGTTCATAGTTACAGGGAGTACCAAAGTACCAGCCTTCATCTGAAGGCTGCTGGCTAGTGACCCTAACTGTGTGCGAGCCCTCTACCCTGTGATTAGTCCAAAATAAATCACTAGGAATGCAAAGTAAAGGCAGCTTTGCTTAAGTTACAGGCAGGCTAGGATGTTTGCCTGAGCTGTTTGAGCCCTTTCGAAAGAGAGATACTTTTGTCAAACCCTTCGCTTTGTTGCTTGTGACATGTTCACATATCCTTAGATTATAATTTCACTGATGTTAATGTGGTCTGAGCTCTGTCTGGTTATAAAACCACCTTACAGATAAAGCATAGGAAAGTCATAGCCTTGTTTGGCTTATGGATTTATCCTGCTTTTTATTTAACCACCCTATTGCCAGTTGCAATTCTGTGAGTTGCTCATTGCTTAGACTGAGCGATTTTTGAGTACTGAGTCTTGATCTACAAACAGGGTCGCTGAAGATCTTTGTATTTGAACAGCAAGGGAAGAGGGATCCTTTGCTCTGCCAGAGTTGTATTTCCAGCTTGCGGATAAACAACTCCAGTTTTTGTTGTCACAAATCCTGTAGCACTGGAATTTAGAAGAGTCATTGTTGAAAGAGGGAAATAAAATAGCCTGTCACCTGCTGGAGATAGAAAATAAATCAGTTGAGCTGAAACAAAGAGGCTATTCTTTCTGAATCCTGCAGTGCTGATGGTAAAACACATTTCTATCACTTTATATAAATCTTTTTTGGGGGAGTGGGGGTGAAATTTAGTGCTAGAGGAGGTATGGTATGCCCTTCCCAATCTTTCTTGCATGTGTAGTTTTTGGGACAGGGTACAATAATTCACAGAGTGATTTACTGTGGTGTTCTTGGACTGAGAAAACTTACTGTGATTATTAGTTTGGGGTGCAGGGAGGTGGAAATTTGATTACAGCAGGGAAAACCACACAATGCTCCAAGGAGAGTGATCACTTCTTTGCTTTGCAATCCTCCACGCTGAACTGTAACAAGTGTTTCATTCAGGGAGAGGCTTGCAGGGCCATCTTTGTAGCCTTAGCGCCTATCTCAGTTTCCTAAACCGGTATTTTCTTGTCCTTTGTACAGGGCCTACGCAGAAGACTCGTCCTCTGTAAAACACGATCCGAGGACAGAGCCAAGCGAGAAGGTGAAGCACGAGGAGGAGGAGGAGGAGAGCAGCGGCAGTGAGGGTAGAAAGGCTGTTGCATCGGGCGATGAGGAGGCTCAGCCGGAAGGGAAGAAGAAGAAGCGTTCTGGATTCAGGGACCGTAAGGTACCAAACTTGGGTGTGTTACACCTGCAAACATTGCGCTGCAGTAGAAAAATGGAGAAAACTTGCAGAACGTTTTACTCAGATTGTGGTACAGTGCGTGTATAGAGTCTGGCTTTTGCTCTGTACTTGTCTTTGTTTTCGAAGGGACCTTACTGTTTTGGGAACCTACTTTGTTGGCATGGTACCTTGAGTTTCTTTAGGTTGAAACTTGTTTATTTGGAAAGCAGAGTAGACTCTGAAATGGAGACCTTTCTTCCCATCTCCAGTTGGATGTCTGAGAAGTGGCTCACAGAGAAATCAAGGCTCCTGCCTTGATGGCCGTTAGGACAGTGCATGCAAAGTAGGGAATCAGTGCAAAAGCTTTCGAACCATCTAGGGCATCCAGCATGTGTGTGTCTCTGAGTCCATCCATTCGCCTGTGAACACACGCAGTGTCTGTAGGAAGAAGCAGAGGATGTGTGTGGAGGGGAGGGTTATAGAAAAGGCATGCTTTTAATTTTTCCTTTAATTATTCCATGTAAATGTAGTTGTTGAAATACAGCCTCACTCCCTAATCATGGTTAGTTGTGTCTCTCTTGATGCTTATGCCTTTTGTATCGAACACATTTTCAAGAGCAGGAAAGCCTGAGTAATGAACTGTATTGTCAACTTGTGACCTGCCTTCACTGTGGGGCAATCCTGAGAGCTTTGAGCTCCTCAGAGCTGTCTGACAACTAGTTTGGTACTATCTGTAACCACTGTTATTACAAGATGTACGATTTGGGCTGATGGAGAGTCCTGTAACTGAGAGTTGGCAGGCAGCAATATTTTATTTTTTTAAACCTGTCCGGATGTCGGCTTTATTGGGCTGTGTTTGATGATTTAATATCTTTGCAGTGCCAAAGAGGAGAATGGGAGTATGTGCTCTTCACAGTTCCTTTCTGTATGATTTGCTTCTGATAATTATTTTTAAGTCCGTAACCTGGAGGCTGCATCTCATTAGCTGTTAAATTGTGGATGGTCGTATAGAGTGGCTTAACGACTTTTCATAAAAAATTAAGAGCTGTTTTGTTTGAAGTTGCTGAATCATATTCTGTTCCTGGTTAGAGTAGATTATACAACTTGAAATTTCAAGTGCTTTGTGGTATTTGGGGCTCCAAACTCTCCCTGTTGTGACATGCTGGTGGCAGCTCAGTAAAGTTACGCTGTAGGATATTACACTGAGATATTCAGAATGGTCCAGGAATATGGCTTCTCGGCTTCTGCTAATTTTCTTGGCAACTGGATGTCAGGTACTCTGACAGCTTCAGCGAAACTTTGACTCTTGCCAGTACCGCTCAAGAAAAGCAGGTTATTTTTTCCAGGCTCAGCGGATGGAGGCAGGTTGCTAAGAGCAAAGAAACAATCCCCCACCTTCATCCACACTTTTTTTTTTTAAAAAAAGAAAAGAACATTTGTTGATACAGTGAACTTAGTGATTGATTTTTATTTTTTTTACTTTTGTCTTTTGTGTCTGGTTGCTTCTGACTAGGGAAGCCAGAGAATGTTTGTTTGCAGGAGAGGACTTTTATGCCAGTTGTTAGGAGACGTGCCTACGTTGACCAGCTCTTTGTTTCCCATACTAGGCAGGGAGGAATATGGCCGTGCTTTCCAAATAAGACACGAGTCAGGCACGGAGGGTGCCCAAGAGGTGCGGTGGGAAGGACGTGCAGCCTGGATCCCTTCTCAGTCCACAGCCTGCCTTCCTCCTACAGTGCTCAACTCGGGAGCAACGATTTCAGCGGGGAGAGCACTGTTTAAAACAGACCTCACAATCTTTTTGCCAACACGAGCCCTTTTCTCTCCAGCCTTAAGACGGAATGTACCTTCCGTGACCTGAATGCCAGTGTTACTTTTGCTCCCTTTAATGCAGGATATAACCGGCAGTCTCCTAGGTGCTGGCTTTCGTGTTTGTTTGAGCGGCTCTGTTGTGGGCTTGGTGTTTGATCAGCAGTTGCCCTAGTGAGTCATCTCAGGAGGTACGTTCAAATGTTTCCAGCCCGGATGACAGAGGAAGGTGTGCCCCGACTCCTGACTCAAAGTCAGAGCTGCTTGCAGGATGTGCTGCTCCCCTGATGAGTTGTGTAGCACCTAGGGAATTCCTGACTCCTCTATATGTCGTTTTTTTTTTTTTTAAAAAATGAAACACCGCCACCCACAGTAAAAATCTTTTCCAACTCTTCCCATAATTAATTGAAAATAGTGTGGGGTTTTCCTTGAGAAAAAATTAAGCTTAATTGAAAGTGTTTTAACACTTGTTTGTTATCCCAATGTTGCTTTTAATGAAGGTGATTATTAGTGTGAAATAATAAATTAGGCTTGACACTGCTATTTTGGGTAGTGATTCAGTGAAGAGCAAGCTGAAATATAAATCACTCAGCATCTGCTGAGGCTGGTGCCAGCATCGCGTGTGGATGGTTCCTGGGCACATACTATTTTGCAGGCTCTGCAATGTATAGGTCCTGACTGTGTAAGGCAGAAAAGGAAAAGATTATTTGAGTCCTTTTATAGTTTGAAGGCTAATGAGCGGTAATGCATGATGTGGGTGGGCTGATGTGCTAATTAACTTGCTAGAAATGTTTGCATGCAGCCTTAGGACTGCTGTATCAAGATCTGCCTGCAGGCTTTGCTGGGTCCTGCAGGTATGCTGCCTTAGGAGTGTTAGTTGTGCCGAGACTTCATTTCAGTTTGTGTTACAGTAGGAAACCCAAAGAAAACGAATCCTAATTAATTTACCCTGCTAAGATGTGTGTGCTGTTGCATGGTCAGGGAGGCCCTGGTGATGCTCTGGGAGTGAATTGAGATGTTAATTTAGAGCTTTATTTTCATGTCTGTACAGGATTTAATTTTTTTTCCTTTTAACCTGAGGCTTAACATAAACGTTGACTGTCTCAACAGCAGCTTTGCTCTTGTAGAGCAATAGGGATTACTTGCTCATCTTTCTCCTCTAGTGCATGTTCTCTTAACAAATGCCAAAAAGGGACTTTTCCCTTTTGGTCACGTAATTTTTCTGGAGGCCCCTGATAACATGAGGCTGCAGTTTTGGAGGCAGGATGAGAATTTTTGGCAGGTCTCCGCTGCATGGAGGACTGGTGGGGGGGAAGGCAGCTGCCTGGGTGCATGCTTTGCCAGGAAAGTATTTTGGAGTATTGCGTAGGTGAGAGGTCATGGGAAGAGAGACTGGTCTGGGATGATTTTATTTATTTTATGATTATTTTATTGTTTCAAAGCAGTGAAGAAAAAAAAAACCGAAACAAAAAAAACCACCTCACAAATGGTGGTGCGTACACCCAAATACATATGCACATGCTTTTATGTCCACGTTTGTATAGCAAGATCAGGGCACCTGTATTATCACCCACTTCATGTTTAGCACCCACTCTTGAATAAATGAGTTGTTCCCATTTGCAGGGTCTTGGCTGTTCCCTTCTTGACCTGGCTTCGTATTTAATCCAGTCTTGAAGACAGAGGGATGAGTTGTAGCATATTCGTTAGTTTTTGCCAGCTGATTAGATCATGTTAGTTCACGAGAATGAGGTAATTGTGAGTTCAGCTGCAGGCAAAAGGGAAGAAGTAGTTCTGCGTTTGCTCACTTATTGTAGGGAAGTTTGAGGAAGAAGTGTAACTTCAGTGGTGATGAAAACATCCTGTGAGATACTAAACAAGCGGTTTAGATAAACAAGCATTTTTAGTTTCTACTTCTTGGTATAGATTGTGAGTTATTCAAGACTGTTCTTTCTTATAATTTTTCAGTAATGTATTTGCCCTGAAAACCGGTTTTGTGTATGTCACAGCTAGTTGCTGGAACTCAAAAGGATGCAAATAATTAAAACTAGTAGTAGCTTCTCATGAAACTTTGAGTAGCTGTACATAATGACGTTCCCTTCCGGATCTGAATCTCAAATCGCTTAACAGGTAACACTCATTTGTTATACTGCAGTGGGCTCAGAGGGGCTGCTTTGAGCACTCGTGGAGATGGTAGGTCAGCTCAGCTCTCTTCAGCCAGACGTGGCAAACTTTGCATCAGATGATGATGGTCATTAAAAATCCTTAATTTCCTGCTTTGTTGTCTGATGCTGCTCTGAGACCTAATGCCAGAAGAGGTGGTCAGCTCTCCACCTGCTGCACACTTGGGTCCTATTTTTGTGAAGGCATTCAGCTGCTTTTGTTGGAGGAGGGGAAGCCCAAAACCGCTTACATGTTTCTCATGAAACCACAGACCGCATGGGGACAAACCTCTGGGTTTGCAGATCTGTGGGGTGGTTGTGCTGAGACAGGAGACTTTTTTTTTTTGTAGCCTGTGTCTATAGTAAGCTTTTGTGAGCCATGCTACATTGCTTTGGGAGCAGTATGTGGCTTTTGAGTGACAGACTGACCCTTCCAGCTCTAGAGCCACGTATTCAAAAATGCTTCCTTGTGAGTGCCTGGCAGTCATCCGAGGAAGCTCTTCGTTTAGCAGTACGCAGGGATAGAAGATGGGATGGCAAATGATCTAGGAAAGGGCCAGGTAGTGAACAGATGCTTTGCTTCTGTTGCAAGTGATGATTGTGGTAGTCTTGAGGGTGCAGTGTGGATCTGAATGGGGTGTGGGAAAATTACTGTGCTTGAAGTCAAACCAAAATGTAGACTGCTTAACATCAATAAAGCAGGGGCCTTGAGGATCACCCTGAGCTTGGGATAAGAAAGAGCTGGCAGTGAAGTTGCTGGGCTGGTAAGGAGGAGTATTGATAAAGATGTCAAGCGGGGAACAACAGCAATGCCCATACTCCAACAATGAGAAGAAAAGCACCTGACAGCAACAAGCCTGTCAGTAGCATCTTTGCAAGATCTTAAAACAGAGGAAAGATCCATTGCAGGTGTGAAGTTGAATGGGATAAAATGAAACACGTTTTTACTGGCAGAAATGTCAGGACTAATGTCTGTTGTGCAACAGTGGAGTTGTTGAGTAAAAGAGGTGCAACTTAACTAGCTGGGTTGAAGGAAAATGTTTGATAGTGCCTCGCAAGAAATTTTTCTGCAGACTTGGAAAATCAGGAGTAGAGGCTCAGGGAGACAAGTATTTTAGCTAGAAAGCAGGCTGTGTGTCCTGGATGGAGCGAGCTGTGAGTCATGGTCTGTGGCGTCTGCTCTTGGCTTGATACTGGAGTTGGTTTTAGTTGTCTTGCTCAAAGGTAAAAATCCTTAATTATGTTTTTGGCTGATCAAGTTGGGTGGGGTGATATTCATGAGACCAGGCCATGCTACAGGAAGGAGTGAGATACGGGCCTGCAATCACAACTCAAAAGATCACTTTGGCATGACAAGTTATTGCCTGCCAGGTAGGAACTGTAAAGATAGACACATGCAGCCTGGCAGCTGGAAAGAGCTGGGAAAGAGCATGTTGTCATTTACTGCGGTTCAACTGATAGACAGTGACTTGTAACTTGGCAGTAAAACAATTGCTCTTGATCCAGTGCCCTTATCTTTGGAGGACCTTGTGGACTGAAGCCATAAGAATGGGTTAGGTTTGTGGATTATAGGTGCAAAGGCTAGTAGCAAAAGGGACTAGGGACAAAAAAATTTCTTCTGGGCAGATAGCTGCAGGAAAGAGGGAGCTGGGTGTAGTGGTTGATGCAAGGTCGTTTCTCAATTATGAAAAAGCTATGATGACACTGAGAAGCGTGGGGAGAATGCTTTAGATATTGTCATTATAGATAATGTCATGTCCGGCTGCATTTGCTGGAGATGTGAGCTAGAACAAATGTAGAGGAGAGGGGCTTTGCTTTCACCTAGTTGCTTTACTGAAGCCTGGCTTGGGAGATTAAAAACCTTTGGATGTTTTGTTCTAGAAATATGAAAAACTGGAGAGGGTGTTTTCTGTCTGATAAACATCAGGGTGGAGAAGTTGTTCGAGTTAAAGGACAAGGCTGAAACAGGACCAAAGCCATAAATGATCTACAGCTGCCTTGGCAGTACCCTTGATCTTGCCTGTTCTCTTTCAGCAGATAGTTAGGTTGGGTTTTTTTTTTCTTCTTCCGTGGCTCTTGGCCAGCAGTACTGAAGGTTTCAAGAACATTATGGACTGTTAAACATAGCATATAATGCAGGAATAAAAAGCTGAACTAAGAAGGAAAGTTTTCTGCTCTAATACATAATGAAGTGTAGGTCTTTGTGCCCTTCTTCCTCCCTTGTGGCCTTATGTTGTGATTTTTGTTTATAAAAGCTTTCTATTCTCTTTGATTAATTCCAGCTGTGTGTTGGGGAAAATGGAAAATAATCGCTACTGGCAGAGTTAGGAAGTGCCAGATTGTTGGGGAGAAGAGGACTGAGTGAAGAATGTTTCTGCAGAGTTTTGCCAATGTGATAGAAAAGAGGAAAAAATTAGATGGGGTGACTGAGCAACCAGCTGTGGCTCAGTCGTTTTTTCCAAGACTCAGCCTGAAAGTAAAGGTCTCTCCCAGCTTTCCGAGACTTTTTTTTCTTTTCCTTTATTTAATAATCACAAATCAGATCCTTCAACACTGTGATTAAAACGTTGAGCTGCTTCAGATTCACAAATGTGATGCTAGTGCTTTTTTTTTTTTACGTGCATGTTTAAAAGCACCTTCAGGGATTTGTTAATGTTTTTCTTCTGTCATCATCAAGAGTCAAAACTTAGCAATAGTAAAGACTCTTAGTGTTTGCTTTTAATCCTGAGACAGCAGGAGCTGATACTGCCATTTTTCCTGGTAGCTCAAAGGCTGAGGATAGGAGGGGTTTTGACCCTTTCAGCATTATTTCTTTTAAGTGTTTTGTTGCTGCACACAACTTTGCTGTCCTGCGGCAAAACCTTCAGAGGACTAAGGGTGGCTGTTGGGGGAGGAACTGTGCACATCTAATGGTGGTTAAATTTCATTTCCAGGTGATGGAATATGAGAACAGGATCAGAGCCTACTCCACACCGGATAAAATCTTCAGATACTTTGCCACTTTGAAAGTCATAAACGAGCACGGTGAATCGGAGGTTTTTATGACACCGCAGGATTTTGTGAGATCGATAACCCCTAATGAAAAACAACCGGAAAGTAAGTGATGTGTGTGTAGTAGTTGGAGGAACTAATAGAGTGAAAGGGAATAAACTCTCCATTCTGTGCTTACCTGATCTTTAAACTTCCTGTCAAACAGATATGTTGTTGGGTATCGTTCTCGTTACGTTGAGAGGTACGGCACAAAAGGGGGGTTGCTGTCTGATTGGCGTGCTGCCACAATCAAAAGCGATGCTCTCAACCCACGTGTTATGGCAATGCGACAATGTGCGGAAGGATAACGGAGACGTAACAAATGCAGGAGCGAGGCAGACAGCTACCAGTGCAGCCATGTGGGAGCCATGCTCATCTGTCCAGCAGAGCCTGCGGCGTGTCTGTGCCGGCTTGAACCTGGCTGACGAGCAGCGACTGCCAAAGAATGGTGGTCGTTCAGGTTCAGAAGCGTTGGTCATGGTGTGCTTCTTGGGAGCTTTGAACCCAGGATTGCTAGGGCTAGGAAGCACTTCCTGAAGCTATGTATTCCATCTCCATGCTCCAAACCCCAAATTTTCCTAATCCCTTCCACATTGCCTGAAGTTCTCTTACAGCACAGTAGATCTCGTTGGTGTGAGCCCTTGAAGAGCAGATGAGATGACTTTCTTGCACATTTAGTAGCGAAAGATTACCTTCAACCGAAACGTCTTAAGAACTGTTCATAAACCTACAAAAGGACGTTGCTTTGGCTAAGAAAATCTTAGCAATAAAGGGATCCAGGCACAGCCCTGTCTGCCTGGCTGAGCTGTGATCCTGCTGGCCAGGGTGAGGCTCATCTCTGCCGGCTTCAAATTCCCTGCGGACTGCAAGGAAGCACATCAGCTGTGATACCTGTCAGGGTTTGGCAGGTAACAGGCATGAAAGCAGAAGCTTTTTTCTAATCTGGAAAGCTATGTTCTGAGCATTTGTGAGAGGTTAGTTTTTGTGGGGTGGCAGGAGGATTTTGCCTGTCTTCTGTTTTGGAGGAGATCCATATTTTGGGTGAGACGTGGGAGATCAGGTTTCTTGGTCTTCCAAAGTGTGTCTCAAAGAATAAAACGGACTTTGGTCAAATTAAAACTCCTTTTGTTTCTGCAGTCATTATTGAAGAACTGCAGCCCCCAAATCTTAACTTTTTAAGAGTGAGATTTCTGTACAAACTGTGAAACTGTTTTGATGTCTTAGATGATAGCTGCTAAATAAATACCATGTACACTTGTATTTAGAAAACAACAATATGAATTGTGTGCAGGAGAGAAGAAAAAAATAATCCTGGCATTAGTGTTAAAAGCTTATTGGTGAATTGATATTTCGGTTTTCATCAAGTCCTGAAAATGGCTGTAGTTTTCTTATGAATTACATGGTTTCATCTTCAGTGAAGAAGTAGTTTGAGCAATAAACAGAAGATAATGTTCACAAATGCTGAAATTGTGTTACCATCTTATCTATTCAAAGCTCCTTGAATTGGTACTTTGAAAAGTAGTAGCGCCTGCTTGAGTGCGACTCTTCCCATGCAAGTAACTTTTTTTTTGTCAGCCAGCTTAAAAATAGAAAACATCCTGTGTTTAATTTCAACACATCTGATTCTTTTTCACTTCTTCCATGTAATGTATGTGCTTGGTTCATTTTAAGGGTGTGCACAGAAAATAGGTGGAAGAGTGCTCAGAAAACACCTCCGTTAGAGACAAGCGAAGGTGACTAATGGGAGATAATTTGTCAGTCTTAGCCACTAACCTGCCATGGTAAGTAGTATTATCCTGGCTAGGTGAGCTGCTTAAATGGCCCCAGTGAAGCTTGTCACCATCTTTAAGTGCCTGCAAATGCCACCAGTCAGTGACACAAAGCAGCCTGTAAGGGAAGAAAATTGCCTTAGTGATACTTACAGGTGCTCTTGGAAAGTGGAGTGAGATGGAAATTGAACTTTGGCTTCCCATCAGCAGGCAAAGCAGGAGAATGGGCATTTTATCTTGTCAGCTTGAAAATCTGTCTTCAGGACTGTTACTGTCATGGACTTTCTTCTAGGCAGAGCTGCTGCTAGGATGGTTGTTCCTTATGAATGCTGTACATAATGACAATTGCAGTAAATGATTTTTTTAATACGTAATGAATAGTAGAAGAGTAAAACACTTAATGCTACAGTAAAGTCAAACCAGCCATAACCTTGTTCCCAAATGCTTTAAAAGCTGGTAGTGAGGAAAAAAACACAAACAGGTAGGGCTGATTTTAAAAATAGAAGTTAAAACAAGATTAAAAACAAAGACTGCTACCTGCTGGCCAGATTATTTACACACTTTACATCCGTTTGGTACTTTTGACTCATAGGATAATCTAGATCATAGATTAGTAGGGAAATGCCAGGGCTGCTTTGTCCCTTAGTCATGACTTGGGTGTGCCTTCCACCCGGGCTGGAGCATCCCGCCTTCATCCCAGGGCGCTCCTTCCAGATGGTGATGTAGCCTGGAGCACTCCTTGGGAATTTCCCTCAGGTAGTGATGTAGCCTGCTGTAATCGTACAAACTCGGTAGGTTAATGCTTGAACTGAATTATGGATTACTTTCCGCAGTCCCACTGACCCCAAGGTTTTCCATGAGTGGTATTTTTTGATAGGATTGTGCGGCGAAGCAGTCACCTTCTGGTCCTGTGAATTAATACGGTCCTGCGTAAGCGGTCTGAGACATGAGAAGGGATGATGCTCGATATGCTCAAGCTGGTGGTCATAATTTCAGCAAGTAACTACTTTTAATATGTCTGCTGTTTTATGGAGAGAAAATACTGTGGAAGAAGTGATGTGGAGTAATGAGGTATTTGAGCCCCTGTTGTATTTGTTTTTGAACCGCTAATCTACTGTGAGGTATCATATGCCTGATTCATTTTTATGGATTACATAGGGGAAAGTTCGATTTATTGTCAATAAAGTGTCAACTTAATTCTAGACTGCATTTTGCTAGCTTGGGGAAAATGAATGCCAATTCATTAGCTCCTGTAGATTGCTTTCTCTAGTTCATTAAAACTTTCTGACGTAGCTTTCCCAAGTAGGCAATATGTGCTTAAGGTGTGACACATTCTTGCTGAGCTTGGAACTGTCTGTCAGAATAAGCCAAAGAATAGCATTAAACTTGGAAGCTGCTTTTAAAAAAAAATAATTCTTTATATGCTATCTGGAAAGTCCAAGTGCCAACAGAAGCGTGGGCAGTGATATCTGCTCCCTGCAGTCCTGTGGTATTTTTTTTCCGCCCACCTTCTCTCGTCCCTGGCGCTTACTTGGTACTCTAGCCCAAAACCAGCTGAAAATACTACCTCACAGTCTCTGGTGGGAAGGGTAAGGGTTTGCAAAACCCCCGTTTTAGATGTTGCAGCTCTTCGAAGACAGGTAGGCTTTTGCTGAAAAAGGCGTGTGAAGCCATGACGCTTGAGAGGAGCTGTAACTGTGCCTCATACTTGCAGGTCGATGCTTGTGCGTTGTCTGTAGTCCTACATAGCTGTTGGCCTGGATGAACGTTTCCAAGTGCTTGGACCTGCTTGGTGGTGGCCTGCCCCGTCCTCTTCTCTTTCCTAGCCTCTGAGGTCCCTCCATTTCCGCACATTTCTCTGGGTCTATTCTGCGTTGATAATTTTCCTGAGGAAAGTGAATATTTTGGGGCATCCTGGACTAAGAAGGAGCTGTGGCATACTCAGCCACTATCAGGTTTTTTTCATCTTTACAATAGGGATTGAAAGAAGTAAAAAAAAAAAAAAAGGCTTCATATGTCATCATAGCACACTGTAACGAGGAGTGGTTATACCCAAATCAGTCTTGCTCTTCCATCTCAGTGTTAACCTCCCTGGTTAACCCAAACTCCTGCTGCACAAAAGACACCTTTCAAGATCCACCGTTCTCTGCAGCAGCTCAATTATCTGAACTCTTGGAAATGCCCTAGAAGGTTTTTTTTCTTTTTTTTTTTTTTTTTTTTTGTCTGCAAGAAACCATGAACATACTGTTGAAGCTCAGTTAGAAGCAGCAGCTGTGCCCCTGCAGCCACTGCACACAGGACAGTGTCGGAGGAGAGGAGCTGTGAAGGATGGAGCTGGTGTCTGGTGTCTTGATCAGACTGTATAGCTTGATTCTCGGTTTTGAAATGGTTTTTCATGTCTGGACTTCAGGAGCAGCTGAGCACAAGCTGGCTTCTGGATTGTTGCAATGCTTGAGTGATTGTTATTTTGACTTAAGTTTGTAAAATATGGATCTGATCTTCTGTAGAAACGGCAGTGATGAGCTGTGACAAGCGCTCACCTGGTCTGGTGGGGAGGAGAAAGACTCCCTAGGCTTGTACAGATCCCTAAAGTTACGCAAATTATTCAACATATTCTTAAGACCCAGAATGAAACTAGAGATGCTGAACTTGTCTCCTGGTTTGTTGGTGGGGACTTAGTTCTGTGTTCTCCCCCGAATACATCTGCTGGAGAGGTTTTCAGGGAAAGGACGTGAGTGAGAAGGAGGGGTACCTCAGGGGTTATCTCTTGAACCAGGAGGGTGAATAGATATTTTGGTTTTTTTTTTTTTTCCCGTGAAAATACATCATTCCTAGGCAAGAATTATCTTTGAGCCTGTAATGCCTGATACGAGACCCCAGGAACCTAGCCAGGGAGGGGCAAGTGAGAGGTGCATTTGCGTGCATGCTTATGTGATAGTAGTCAAAAGAAACAAATAATTAAGGCTTCCAGTATATATGACAGGTTGGTATGGCTGATCAGTTGTGTTGTGAATGCACATCTCCTAAAGAGACTGAATTGCCTGTTGGAGGAGGAGGAGATGGTTGTAATTCCTTGAACAAAACAGTTCTGGACTTAAATACAAACCTGAGAGTGGTGTTCCCTGAGAAATCTCAGGCAGCTCATTGTTTGCTTGCAGATTACATTTTAAATTTGGGAGAAAATACTCATACAAAAATCAGAAGCTGGATTACAGCTCTGGAGGGGGAAAGTTGGTCTAGTGTTTATTTCTCCCATAACATAGCATGTTGCATGCATGGTTAGCAGGCTCTTCAGTCTTGGTGATTAGCCCTTTTGCTCATCTACTTGCAAGACAAAGAGTCCATGTTATATATCCAGCAATGGGAAAGGAAAAGCAGATGATGAGGAAATGTTACCCAAATAACATGAAAAATCTAACAAGGATATAAAGACTGCAAGGAGTTGAAAAGGTTTTTTCTGTCAGTGGAAAACTGCTGGCATCCCAGAGGAAATCATGATGGTTTCTAATTGATTTCAACTGTGTTCTTGGCATAATACAATCTTTATTCTGGAAGATCATTTGTTAAATATTCTTTTTTTAAACTGCAATCTATAATCTGCTGCCCATGGCTCACCTTTTTTTTCTTTTTACAGCATAACATGAAAAGCTTCGTAATTGTTTAGATATTTATCCAGTGTGGTAATTAGCTAGCTTTGAGTGAATCTGTGGAATGTATGTTTTCATTAATCAATAGAAATATAATAAGCATTTGACTTTAGATTTGATTAGTGCTGAACAAGAGTAACGGCAGGTTATTCTATATGTTTTCCTTTACATAAATAATTCCTTCTCCATTAAAACATCCTTCCTAGCCCCAAAAGAAAGAAGTAAACGCAGACAATATGGTTCTCCTATCGAACACGCTCTTTTTTCCCCCATTGTGGCAGGCAGCGAGTGTAAGTAATTTTGATTTATTTTGAAACATTTTTACTTTTAGAGTGCTGTGCAAGTACCATCACATGAATAAGAATGGAGGCCTATATTCGTAGTATTGTTAAGTGGTGTTGGTCTAATCTGAAATAACGCTTCCAGTGGTGCTGTTTGCGTGGGTACTCCACGGCAGCGCTGCTGTTTCATTTGGTCCCTGAATAGTACTTTAGGTGGTATCAGAATTTGTAGGAGTAATACACAGTGGTACCTAAAGATGACAAGCGAACTGGCTATGGTGAGCAAATTTGGAAATTGTTGCAGGTCACCATTGGCACTGCTGAAAGTGAGTGGCTGATGCAGAAGTTTTGGCTGGGGGAGCAAAAGGGGCTTCCATAATCCAATGTGTAGTAGAAGGTGAGGTGTTGTACAGTGTTTTGTGTAAATAAAAGGTGTATTCTGGGGCAGGACATGGCAAAAACTTTGGGTTTGTTCGAGCAGAAACAAGCACCGAAGCCCAGCTGCTCTGGGAGGTCACTATGCAAGCTGGAGTAGCCATGGTGCACGTTGTGCTGCCTTCAGTCCCGGGGGGGCTTCGTGAAGCAGCCAGGTACCCTCTTGAGGTGATTTCTGGATTTCATTGCCGTCTTTCTTGAAGGACATCCTTTAATCCATTTCTGGGACAACAGTATTTCAGCACCTGATTTTCAGTGAAAGGTGGAAAAGCTCTTTTTTACTGTTTAACATGCCTATTAGCTTACGTTCCTGCAGCTCATCAGCAATAGCCCAGGCAGGGGATATTTGTTTTATGAGTGTATCAGTTACAATTCTGCAGTAGCTTTAACTTAGCACCCTGCCTTTTGAGTAAGAGATGTAATAACTAACATTCTTTCCTTTACTTGTTCAGGTGTGATTGTCCTTATTCGTGCAGCGTTTCCATTAGCTCTCCATCCTACGCAAACACTGAATTCCTATTGTCATGTCTTGGAGGAAAAGCCTTTTGAGTCTTTTATGTATTACAATGAAAGAACAACACAGGCGTCAGGCAACAGTCCCTCTTTTTTCTTGGTTCCCTTTTGTCAACTTTTGAGATTGACGACTTGTGGAAAAACACGTAGCTAAGTCCATAAAAAAGAAAATAAACTGTATTGGAAAAGGAAAATGTATTGAGTAAAACTGCATGCCTTGAACATATAAATGTCCCTTTTCAGCCTTTGAATTGGCTTATTCTGTTGGGAGATATGATACGGGGAGTTTTATAGGACTTAAGCGTGCAGCTTAGTACAGCAGAGCAGAAGGGATATTGTTGTGCATGGCTGGGAGAAAGAGTGAGCGTGAAACACTGATGTGAACCAATATGCTTGTGCTTGCAATAGAATCATAGAGTGGTTTATGTTGGAACAGACCTTTAAGATCATCAAATCCAACTGTTAACCTTGCACTGCCAAGTCCACCACTAAACCATGTCTCTAAGTACCACATCTACACATTTTTTAATTACTTCAAGGACGGTCCTGTCAGATTCTACACCTGGTTTGAGGGTTTGGATGCAGTTACAGAAAAGCCATGTGTAAGTCAAGGTCCATCACTCTGTCCCTCCCAGGAATACTCTCAGGTTACCCAGATGCTCTGTTTTTCTGTGTCTTTTCGTTACATGCTATAGCGATCGAGGCAACACGTGGAAACAAACATCTCAGTGCTTAGGTGAATGAGGCTGGACCAAACCCCACTCTGGGGGCAAACCACCCTGTATTCAAAACTCCTGATTTCACCTGCATGTTTTTCCTTTGCTGACTCCATCATTATTGTAATTTATTGTTGTTAACTATCGTGCTGCTTTTTAGTCCCCTCCAGTCATACTCCTCCATCACCTCCCCTTTTACCCACCTTGTGTTACATCTGTGGAGAGCATAAAGTTCATAATACTAGCCTCTTCCTTTGGTACAGGTGGGGGTATTCTTTTAGGAATACCATTTTAGGTGTCCTTTGGCTGTTTTTAATAACTTTTCTATAGGTACATACAGACTAGTATAGATATTATTGTTTATTATATAAATAACTATATTTATGTGTGATTTATTTTTTTATATATATATAAAAGAAAACAGTTGTTAGTTCATCTTTTCTTGCCATTCATCTACATGAGCATCCATTCATTTGGGGTCTCCTTTGAAACCTGTTTGCTTTCCCAATAGTAGTGTCCAGTTGGGGTGAGTTGGTGTGCCATTAAGAAATACTTTCACTTGCTATTTTTAACCCGTGTCCTTGCTTAGCTTTCCGTGAGTACGTGTATAATGTCGGGCTGCCGGGGATGTGTCTTACAGTGCTATTTCCTGGCATGGGAACAGGAGGTGTTCTTGAGAGATGACTTGGTTATGACACATGGACATAAGCTAGGCTCAGCTTAGCGGTCAGCATCCAGATGGATCGTCAGGGGTGGCCTCCAACCAGATAACATGTTTCTGGTAAAATAAGTACATTTATCAAATGAATTCTGCCTCTCAGTGGGACAATACTTACTGTATTGCGCTTATACCCGCAGCTTTCAGGAGGATAACATTCAGAGGAAGATGATGATTAAAATCTGAAAACGTGTATGAATATGCAATTTTCACTCTGTTGTGAGGTGCACAAAATATTGAGAAGGTGCTTTCTGGTTAGAATATTCACAAATCCAGAAAGCCCTCTGACAATTGCCTTGACCTTTGAAATTGGTGAAGGAGGAGTTTTAACTGCTTTGGTTCGGAAAGGTCGAAGAGGTCACCCTGGCATGATTAATAACTCCATTTTCTGCCCCGTAACCATTATGAACCTTTCCAGTAGACGGGAAGGGTTTTATTATCTTCCTTCACAAGCAGGTGACACAGCAGGCGTTGGGGAGGTTTTAGTTTGTTTTTTCCATCTTTTTTTTCTAATTGAAATTGAAATGAGGATGTGATAATAGTCATAAACAGTGGCAGAAAATGCATGGGATGTGGCTCTGCTGAGGGGTTTTATTCTTCAGAGAACCAAAAATTGGCCTGTGCTCTCCTAAATTACTGGAAGTGCTTGGTTTGACTTCTGTTTAATCTCCTTTCAGAGTGCATCTTCCCGACTTTGGGTTGCAAAGCTCAGATAATTAATCTTCCTGAATATTTTTGTCATCTTGCTTATATGTGCATTCATCAACGTACATATAGCCTGCCGGGCATTGTGGATTAGATTGAGAGCTCTGTGCCTTAGCTCTGCAAATGCTGGGTGTTTTTGTTTTCTATCTTGAAGAGGGGAAAAAAAAAAAACATTTTGTGATGGTGTGAGAGATTGAATTTACTAGTATAAATAACCCCTCTCCCTACTTTTCTCCAAAATGCCCTTCTAGCTAAAACGCTCGCCTACTTATGAATGCAGCTACAACTTATCTCCTTTAAAATCTATTTACAAACAATTTGTTACTAAAATATGAACTAGTATTGGGTTTATTTGGACGTATCCCAATTAACTCTGGGAACAATTCTTTGTTTTCCCCTTTGTCAGCCATTCAAAAGGTGTTATTAAAAATCAGGTTTTATGAGTTTTATGAAGATGCATTTACATGGGGCATCACAGGAGAAATGTTTGCCTGGTAATAGTGCAGAAATCTTCTGCTTTGGGGTGGGTATTTCAGGCTCTTGAGGGGTGCTCAGAGCTGTGCCCCTACTGTCCCTGCTAGAAGAGGGTTTTCTTCTCTGATGCCGTAGGTTTGTTGTCATCTTTCATGATCATAATACAAAGTACAAAATGCAAGAAGCAAAAAAATTTTCCTTCTGTCTTTATACTTTCTACTGACATTATTCAGACGGTACATTTTACTTTCTAATCCTCGCTCAGACACAAAACCCAAGAAATGCTTACTTTTACACTCTAAGAGCATGTTTTTTTTAAAGTATCTTTTTTTCCTTTCTCTTTCAGACCTGGGCCTGGATCAGTTTATAGTGAAGCGCTATGATGGGAAGGTGAGCACATCAGACTATTTAGTGTGTATTATTCAATAGCTTTTTTAACCTAGAGTCCTTTAGTTATTTACCTGCATGTGGGTGTAAGTGAAATGAAGTATTTGAAGTATTCTCTTCTGAGCTTTTTGTTGTTTAGTAGCATTGCAGTGCTTTTTCTGTAGTGACAGAAAGGTTTTCTGTTTTGTTTTGTTTTTTTTTAAATGGGTATTATTTTAATGTTTACAGACAAAATATTACCTCTTCTTTTATACTGGTAGACCAGGAAATTATAGGTTGTAGTCATGTTTTCTTGCTGCTTCTTTATGACTGTATGAGAGCCCCACAAGTTATCCCATTTCAGGGGAAACTCTCTTGACTTTTCCCTTCCAGACTCATCTCCACATTCCTAAAGGAAAGAGACACTCTTGTGTTTTTGTCTGAATCCTGAGCATGTATTTCCCTCCCTATCAAACAGCCTTACTCCGTTCCCCTTGTGAACCCTAGGTCTACAGCGGTACACAACTGTTCTGGATGTTTGTGCTGTCACAATACGTGTTGGTAAAATGTTGAGCATGCTCTGATCTAGTTTTGTATGCCTGTGTTAAGTAGAGCTGTGTAACATCCTACCTGTTGTTATGGAAATCAGAGACCCAATTAACCACACCGTAAATCTCACTGGTATGGAGGAGTTACGGTAAAGGCAGCTCTGGCCCTAGGACTAGCAGCTCATACTGACTTCTTGATGCAGATAACTGCAGGTTAGTTAATATGCCGTCATATCACCATGGGCACATAATGGTACTCCAGCTTTTAGCAATATTTTCATTTCATCTGCATCATCTGAAAAACAAAGCTTCTGTTTTTCCAAACGGAAGTCAGCATCTGATCCCGTCATTGCTGAATGATGTACCTGTACATGGTGTCAGGTATTTCCAGAAAGCCTTTACACGGATAAAAGTGCCTTATATAAACACAGTGTGGGCCGAACACGTGCAGTTCCCTCTCTTGTTGGAAAGGTAAAGACAGAAGGTGATCAAATACCTGGCGTCAGCGGTGTACAAGTGTTCTGGTTACCCAGGCAGCAGAGTGAGATTTTTGCTTGAAAACAGACAATTGGAAGGTAGTATTTTGGCAGTTAGTTTTGATGCATAAAGCTACAAAGTGTGTTGTGAACATTTTGTTTTCTTCTTTCCCTGCCACAAACCCAATGTCTGCTTTTCATGATTGGGGAAAAAAAAAAAAGCAACCAAAAAAATCCAAACAAAAAAAGGTACATATAGTCTTTGCAAAATACCAAATGTTTCTCTCTCTGGTTTATGACAGTCTATTTTGCATCCGCTCACTTTCATCATTTTATCTTGACAAGCTATCACGCTCATCCCTTAGGCTTTACATAAACAAGATTTGTCTGAAGGGAAGAAACGCTGAATCCCACACTACTTTCGCTAATCGTTCCTCTGTTCCTGAGCACTCTGCAGTCAGTTCCTATCACATTGAATAAAAGATCCAAAGGCAACCCCTTTGCTTAACTCCACTTTCTGTTCCTCTGCCCCTCAGCACCGAGGGCTTGAATTGCAACGCATTTGGATGTGGTGGACACAGTCACCACGCAGGGGTGTTGAAAACCCACAGTGGGTGTTTGAGGTACCGTACTCGACTGTGCATCGTCATCCAGACTCGTGGGATCTTGCCATTCAGCGTGGTGAATGTCTCTGCTGGCTGAAGGCTGGAGAACGGATAGGCTTTGCCTTACGCACTAACCACCTTTCTCTCTGACCTGTAGCAGAGTGAAATTGCTTTTTATATAACTTACAGATGGCAGTGCTGCACTTGGGTCTACGTGCTGTGGTTTGGATAGTCCTGAAAGTGAGGCAGCAGATTTAGGGTACTGCAGTGGACGTCTCTTTATTGTCTTCTCCTGGGACCTATTTTTTCCACAGTCTAATAACACCCTAGAAGCAGTTTGCTCTGTTGAAAATGAAGAAATAGAGGTTCTTATTTGCTTGACTGTCTGCTTAAAGACACCTTGGGACTGGCTAAATCTGGCTGTGGCTATTAGGGTAGTGGTAATGTCCGAGTGAGAGGATAATTCGAGGAGAGTATAAAATAAGTTGGCCTTGGCTTTGCCTGGATAATGAAAGGAGCTGACAGCAGATTGATCTGTCTGGTAGCATCTTGTTCTCATTTTATTGCTTGCTTTGGGTTTCAGTTTTAAAAAAAAAAAAACCACAAACCAGTCTTTACTCAGTCAAGCACCAACTGAGGTCCTGCAGAGCTGACCTTTACTCGTTTGAGTTTCACTTGCATAGTAGCACCCAAGGGATAAAACCCTTTTGCATCTCTTCCTCCTTGCCTGTTTCCAACTACGTATTCCTCTTGGGTTATCAAAGCATTCTCTACCTGGAGACGACTTTTCTGGCACTTTGCCTTTGTGCGTTGGCGGAGCTGATGAGCTCAAGCAGAAGGGTAAGAGGTCCATTGTTCCCCTAAGCATTCTTTCGGATGTCGCGCAGAGGTAATGGGACTTGTGGAACAGGCGTGCGCTCAAAAAGTAATAGGCCTGTTCACTGGAAATTTCCTCTGTTTTTAAGGTGAAAGGAGTTTGTGAGCAGTCAGACACAAGCGAGCTGTGGTACTGAAAAGAACTGACTATCTGTTGGCTAGATCCTGGCTGCAGAGTAGAAAAGAGAATTAATTTTAGTTCCAAGCGAAGATGTATACCCAGGGTTGCATGCAAGTAATAATTTAAAAAAAGACTCAGTTAAAAGAATAGAACCAGCTGTGCAGTCAGTTGCATTTTAATTACATATTACAGGACAATGTTTAAAGTATCAGTGTGAATTTTGAGCATGTATGTTTGAGGCTTAAATGCTGCAGCATTAGTAAACAGATGTATGAGCTGCTCTTTTCACAGAACCAATTTTATTTACGTAAAACTACGCTCAAAACAACTAATTGGCTGTCGTGTGGTGGTCAGGACTGGTCTTGCCAAAGGATTTTGTGGAGTGATGTGCCTCTGTATTGTAATTGTGTCAGGTTTCTGAAGCATCTTGCTGTGCATGTGATTGAATACTATGGTGAGAAGACAATACCTGCTCTTTTTTTTTATTTCTTCCTGCCCCTCCTTCCTAGTGATAATTTATAGAGTTGGTGGAGAGGGAGGTAAATGTTACTGCCTTATTAATGAGAAGAATGCTCCTGTAATTTGAACCTAAATGCTTTTTCTTCGTTCATGGCGAGACCAAAAACCCTGGAGACATTCATCCAGCAAAAACCCTTGGTCAGATCTGTTCGCAAACATGAACTCATACTTGTCTTTGGCCTGCTGCTGGGCTGAGTGTGTAGGGAGGCAGCTCTATCCTTGGCTCTGTTTTTGTCGAAATGTGGTGGTTTCTTCCCAAGGGAAGCAAGCTCTGGAAAGTAGAGGAAGAGTGCTATTGATTACTATTCATTCAGAGTAGAAAAAAAACTATTAATCGGTCTGCAAGCATTTCAAAGTGTTCATATTGAGCCTGAGCAAAAGGCTGATGTGAGAATAAACACAGTCTAAGGTGTAGCTCAGGATGCTGTGGCACGGAGGTGTCCAGACCACAACTGTTCATCTGCTCCATCTCCACTGTGTCTCTTTCCTCCTCTTGCGTTTTGACAGTGGGAAAGCAAATGCTTTTTTTAACCCATCTGTAGGAGAAATATCTCATGTTGTCGCTTCTCTTGCCCTTCCATCTTGAAAAGCATGCCTCTGGTTAGGAGTGAAGTCCTATTTAATTTAAGATGTGCTGTTCCCCTGCTGCATAATGTATGTTAGGGCTTAAGAAAGGGTGCTTTTGAGAGTGACGTGGAGATGTTCTTTGCACATCTGATTTTTCAAACTGAGGCATTGTGCTGTTTAATCGCTTGCTGCTTGCATCTCACTTAACAAGACGATAGTGATGAATAAGCTCTCACTAAGTAGAAGTAGATATCTTAGCACATGTAAAGTGGCATAAGCTTCATTAATGTTATGTAAGTTGTAATACAGATTTTGTGTAATTTTTTTTTTTCATGCCTTCTTTGTTTACTTGATGGTGCTTTTTTTGGCTTATGCATTAATGATTGACAAGCTTAATCTCTCAAAGATCTCAAAAAGAGGCGATGCTGTTAGCGGTGCTCCTCTAAAGTGTGAGCTGCATAACCACCTTGTTCAGAGCAAAATCGTGTCCTGTCACCTGGCTCCTTTGGTGTGGTCAAAGGTGTGAGCAGAGGCAGAAAATGGATGTGGTGGGTGCACAGCATAGGTCTGTCTTTGTGCAGTTGGGTGCTCACGCCGAAGGTCAGACGTAGTGCTTTTAAGAGACCTCTAGCCTTTTTAGGGAAAAAATTAGCCCATTCCAGATGGCTTGTTAGTTTAATACAGAATACACTTGACTTGCTCTTTTTGTTCTCCTGTGGGGAAAATTTCTTGCTACTGCTTAATACAAACAAAAGCCTTCGAGCTACCAGCAACAGCTTACCCTCCTGCTACCATTGCTTCAGTAAGTAATTATAGAGGCTTTCAATGCCCTCTAATTAAATTTATGAATTAAGTACTTCCTGCCAGCATTTATATTTGCATCTCTAGATGTTTGGGGATGCCGTAGAGTAATGCAGAGCAATAGCAAAATGAAGGAAGAGGAAATTACTTCAGATGATTTCTGTAAGGGCCAGTAAAACATCTGAAATTAGCTTCTACTGTAGAATGCAGGTTTGTATCATGGACCAATACAATGATTAACTTCAACTACACTTACCTGCCAAGGCCCTGTAGCTGGAGGTGTGTGTCTGCTGAAGAGGAGTTACTGGGAGTCAGCTCAGGAGGAAGATTTCTTGCCAGGTGATTTAAAGAGCATCTCAGGAGCAGAGGAGCCTGAAAAACTGAGGTCAGGAAGGATCACCATGGAAAGGATTGGAGGTAAATTCACCATCCTTTTCTGGTGGATTGAAGGCTCTTGCTGCCAGATTTGGAAAAGGAGGAAAAAGGAGCCTTTATTTATTAGCCTGAATTTCTGGGATCCTTTGCTTTGTGTATGAGCTAAGGCTGGAGCGTAAGACTTCCGCCAGAGTGACGTAAGCTGCCGTAGACCCAAGCTTGCAGCAAGTGAGATGAGCTCAAAGTCCTGCTGTCGTTCAGGAGCCAAACACTGGATCAGAGCTCTGAGTTCCTCTGATGTTTAAGTGCCTCTGAAACCTTCATTCAAAAGGATGCAACTCTAAATGAGACCTTAACAAAGGCAAGCTATTGCAATTCTGTAAATAGCAGTGTAATGTGTATGTGCAGTTGATTTACTGAGCTCGTTAACTGCGAAGGACACTCAGTACCTTCTCTAGCTTAGATGCAATGAAAATAGGTGAGGAGTCCTCTAAATCCAACTGCATGAGGTCTTACAGATGTCTGTTGTAAGAGCATTTGAAATAAACGAGTCTCCAGTGTCAGCGGTTTCAGCTGTTGAGTCTAGGTTATGGCTTGCTTGGACATACCTTGAAGCATTCAGCTATCCCGGTCCTTAATCCGTGTAAAACGTCACTGTCCAGTTTCAGATTTCCTGCTTTCAAAGTCCTTCACCTTCTGATCTCCGTGCAGGTAGTATTTACGTAATAGGTAGGAGGCATCTTCTTGCTTAGATAACAACCTTTCGCTCGTCTGTATGAAAGTTTCTCTGCTGACGGCAAAAGCGTCATAACAAGCTGGTGGGAGATAATTCTTGCCTGTGACCCTTAGTCAAAGCAAGCAGAGATGCAGTCTATTGCAGATAATCAGCAGATCTGAGCTGAGCTGACAGGATTTTTCTCTTCTTGACTTTTGCTGACACCGCTGTCCGTGTTTGTGCGTTTCTTTGCTTGCTGGCTTTCTCCTCCCAGCCAAACTTGGCCGTCCCATCTGCTTTGGTTAGCAGTTTTGAGTTACTTTTGTGCTCCTCACCACTTTTTCCTTCACACCGGGACCTGTGCGGACACTGAACTGCAAATTCTTCTCTTGGCTTGTTTTTAATAAAAACAAATTTTATCAAAGTACATACTTAATTGCTTCTAACACAGGTAAATGCACGGTGCGCAAACATCCCTGTGGACACCTGGGTTGCTTTACATCCACGTACAGAACAGGCTTCATCTTTTCCTACCTCCTCTACCTAAACGTTCGGGGTCTATTTCAGTTTTGACAGAGCTCTACTTGCTGTTATCTTTTTGTGCCACTAATTCTGTTGCTCGTTTTCACAGGGCTCGTTTGGCAGACACTACTAAAATGCTCTGGTTGCTGTATGTCCTCTTTTATTCTGGTTTCTAGGTACCTGGCGGCTGTTTTCTCCAGCTACTAATATCTCTCATACTTGTGTCTTTATTCTAATTATGATTTGGTTTTTTGGTATAACCAAGCATTCCCTCATTTTCTTCCCTTTTCTAACCCTCTCCCCTTCCACCAGGATTTCTGGCAGGTACAAAGCAGACAGCATGTGCTTTGATTAGTTTGTGCTTCAGACCTCATAATGTGCACTTTTCACGTAAAAGGGACAGTGTACGCTCACCCCTTCTCCCTGTTCCTTTAGTAAATAATTCTGAATCCTCTCCTTGATCCTCAGTCTAAAGGATTTATTTCAGAATACTTGAATTTGGCTTGTTAGGAGTATGGTCCTCAGGGTAACTGATAATACATGGCTTTATTCGTGGGAATGCCTTTGAGCAAAGCTTGAATGTGTATCTCCCTGTCCTCCTGTTTTCACGGTGTCTTTTGAGGCTTCTAACTCATTTTGCAGCTCGATGAGACTGCCGTAGAACTGGCTCTGTTGGAAAATGGCATTTTCCGCTCGAGGTCACGAAGTTTTATCCTGTGAGAAAGGACAGGCTTCTCTCTGGCCAAGTGCTGTGGGGAAACACTATGTATTTGAATGTGTGTAAGTTTGGGGAAGGTTATTTTCACAAACTTTCTAGAGGTTTTCAAGTTACAGTACTATGTGAGGTGAACTATACTAAAGAATGTTTTAGGAAGAAGATATTTAGATGCTGTAGTTCATAAGATGGTTTCTAGGAGAAAGAAGTAGAAAGCAGAGGGAAGTTCTTTCAGTATTGGTAAGTAAAGAGGGAGATGCACTCTAAACACTTCAGTTTGCCCTGTAGCTTTGTGACCTTAATGAAATCCATAGGGGAAGTTAGTAAAAAATAAGCAACTTGGTGCCAAAGTGCCCTTAGAGGGTATATGCAGTCTTTTAATCAAAAAGTGGTTTATGGGATCATTTTTGGCTTTAATTTCTTTGATAGCTTTGCTGGCGTTAGATTAATGTTTAATACTTCAGGGATACAAAACTGGGCTCTGAAGACTCTGTCCTTGGTTAACGTGGAGTTAGTAGGGAGGAGGGGAGAGGGAAGGAGAATGGCTTGAGCAGGGTGGGAGGGAATGTTTTAGGAGATGCTTGACCTCACTGACTAGAGAAGGAGGGGAGGTCTGGATGGGAGATACAGGTGAAGAAGAAAGGAGGAGTGAGAGAGTGGAAGAGAATGGCAAGATTTTTAGTTCTGTCTTAATTTGGTTCCTTAAACCATTTGCGATTGTGATGACAATCTCCAATTACATGATTACATGTGGTTCTTCCCCAATCCCCTTTCTCATTTGGTGAGTGATTAGTACCGAGTGTATGACCCCCAACCTCATCAACTGAGCCAGTGTTTAATACTTGCTTTCTGTACGGAATTATTATTTTCCTCGTGTACTTTCACACTGGAATTTTTATCTGAGAAAACGAGCAGCGTGCATTATCAACATAATGAGTTCATCTTGGTAATGCGGGCTGAGACGAGGGAAAGCAGTATCCCCATTTCCATCTGGAGACCTAATCAGCGATTTAAATTCAAAGATGTCAAAAGTCAACTCATTTTAGAAGCATGATTTGGGACATCAAGGACCTGATTTTAATCCTCTCCCATCAAATTTCCATGATGAGTGCCACTGTGGTCCTACAGATTGTGATTGCATTGCCCTGCGGAGGACTGAGACAGCGCAGCGGAGGGGAGCAGGAGTGTAGGCTGTCCCTTTTCCGAGGCATTTCCTATTTGCTTTTCCAGCAGGGGTTTCTCCCTTGCATGAGTGGGTCTGCTGCCTGCAAAGGGTCGGGAAAGTCTGTGTCCTTTTTTTTCTTGGTCGTACAGAATGCTGGCCTTGCGTTTCAGGTGCCGTTTGTTTTAAAGGTGATGAATATTTACAGCCTTGCTGGAAGGAGGGAATGCAGATTTCTCTTTCCAGTCTCAGGAGACCACCTGTAGTAATAATTGCTACCTAATTTTTAATTCTTTCTACGTGTCCAAATTCAAATTCAGAGGGAGAGAGTATGCCGAACAACTTCATCTATGTGCAGCTCTGTATTTTTGTCCCCCTGATAAAATAACTCCCAAATCAAAGGTTTTAGAAACCCTCTTTATTAAAATACACTCTCGAAAGGTCATAAGCTGCAGTATTTAGCAGCCAGCAGTAAATTTTAAGCATTTTCCTATGCTGACACTCACCCACCCCGATTTGCCATGCAGAATCTGTTTGCATTTGCCTCTGTTAGTACATAGACTTCATAGTAAATTATCTGGAGCCACTAGGAATGATACTGTGAATTTTTCCACTGCAAAAGAGGTTTATGAGTTTCAGAAAGTCCTTGTGCTCTTTCCATCACAACCTTAAATGCTTTTTTCTTATTTAATGATATATAAAAAGTGATATAAAACAATCCCAGGCGGTGCATCTAAAATGACTTATTTTAAAGCTAGCTTTATAATTTGGATGCAAAAACTCTAAATCCCTCAATTCTCCCCCAAGTCCTTTTTTTTCTGTCCTTGTTTCATAGCACGGAGGGACCTCCCTTGCCTCTTTTTCCCTAAAGGGCTTTTGAACATCTGGGCTGAAAGGCTCAGTTTTTAAATCTGATTCTGAAAGCTTTTTTATTATATTGTTTCAGTTTTCTTAACATAGGTAGTGAGGTGCCAACATGAGTTGTCATGAAATCTCTAAATACATGTCTTTGATTCTTTAAAGTTTATATCTTTAAAAAAACCTGAGTGGCACTAAGAATCTCCCTTATTTCAGAGCTTCCAGTTCAGCATTTTGAGGCAGACAGAGTTTAAAGCACTAATATTTCTAGTTATTCTAGCAGGCTGCATTGCCTGCAGTTTTGCCTGGCATTTCTTAAGGGTTTTCCCTTATCCATCTTGTGTGGTAGACTAATACAGAGCATCTGCTGCAAACGCATTAGTCAGTGTCTTGGTATGTATTTCCCCAGATTTTAAACAGCCTTGCTTGGGAAGGAGGTGTAGTAGTCCATGCGAGCATGATGCTGTGCTGCAGGCTCTGCTGGACCAGCCAAATAGGAGCTGTGTCGCTGTGCATTTAAATGTTGCGTAGCGCTAATGAGATGGCAGATGCTAGCTAATATTTTTAAAGATGTCGAGCACTATGCGTGCTAGGTGCTAAAGAGCATTTGAAATGCATTAATTAAATGGGTTGTCCAATAAATGTTATGAAAAGATTTGTTTTTCCATCCTTAGAAGGTTTTCTAATAGTTTTTTATTTATAGGGGTGCTGCCTACTGATTTAAGCCCAAGGTATCAAGCGGTGTGCGGGCAGGACTAATAGCGCGTCATGTCTAGGCGTACTGCTTAATGTTACATGCACAAGGGCTAATGTGGGGTTGTTCTCCTATTGTTAGAGAGATTTTATTTGTAAAGAGGCACGTATCCTAAAATTGAAATAATATGGAGGGTCATCTTTAACTTATAAAGTCAGAAAACTCAGAAACAAGGAAAGAAATTGTCTATATTAGGCCAACTTGTAGCACAGATTTTTTTGGAAACTTCTACTGTGGAAAAGATAGTGTTTATTTTTAACACTGAACATACAGCATTTTAACTTCTTTCCTGTATACCTACAGCTAACCATAAAAGAAATTTGTTAATAGATGTCTTTTAAATGGTTTGCATAACTGAAGGTGGTCAGGTGGGACTGAAAGAGAATTGCTTTGCAGCAAGGTGACTTCACTGAAACATTCATGGTTTTGTATTTGCTTTCACAATATTGGTAACCTTAAAGTATTTCTTTTAAAAAGGAACAAACTGAGTCTGATGACATTTATCAATAAAAGATGGTTATGCTTCATCTACAATTCCTTACTAATTTACAAAATTACTTTCTGGTTCTGGAGAAATATTCGTTATCTTGCATGCACTCTGATATTTATTTTGTTGTCATTTTGAAAGGCATAAGTCACTGTCGAGTGGTCACATAAGGCTGATAAATTCTTGAAGCCTTGGTAAATGGAAGTACAAAGGTGCCGTTGAAACCTAAACAAGTTATGTGAATAAATGTGCTGAAAGTGTGGGGTTTTTTCCCTCCAGATTGAAACACAAGCTGTCAACTCTAAGTGACTTACCAAGAATGTATTCTTCCCAAAGTGGCAAATTAAATGCTGCTCATTAAGTAGTTTCTGAAATGCAAAATGAAGTGAAGCCGCAAGGATTTAGATGATAAGGCTTTTCTAAACGTGTGTTAGGAATGCAGAGCAAACACCAGCACCGCACCTTGCGTCCGTCTCTGCCTTTGCAGAGAAGGCATCCCTTAATTTGCAAACATACATTTAAATTTTTTTTTTTCAGATTTGCATAATTAAGTATTAACATGTTTCACTCTTCACTCAGCCCTGGGAAAACAATTTTTAAATCCAAAATAAAGGTAGTATTTGGCAAGGAATGGAAGGAATCGGTGGGTTTTTCCCTGCCTTCCCCTCCCCCCAAATCCTTTGTTACCTGAAAGCTGTACCGTGTACTTGGCTCGAGGAAGGCCCCAGCAGTAGGTCAGTTTTGGGGTAGAATATGTGAAGTTTGTGATCTATCTTTGGGTGCTTTGCTTGCTTGCAGCCAGCCTGTACCACAAGTCTGGGGAGTTGCCTGCATATGGCATGCAACGTGGTTTCCTATGGCACACGGGTTTGGGGGAGGTCGGTCGCTGTTACGGATGTGTTCAACCCATGTTCTGGTGCTCTTTGTTGGGCTTGGAGCCCAAGTTGGAAAGGGCAAACCAAGCTTTTGTATGTTGAAATGCAATTACATTGTGGGTTTTTTCCTGTTGTCAATGTCTGGTATCGTAAAATAATCTGCCTGAATGCCTGTAAAAAGTCTTATTCCACTGAGACTGGATTGGCAACTTTTCACTGAACTTCCACAGCCATGCTTGTGCGGAAAGCAATGGTATATTTGGATTTCTTTTCCTTTTTACATGCTAATTTGGATGTTTGCTCATTTGTCTGCTTGTTTAATAGGACTCTACTGCTTGATTAAAAAATACGTCATAATTGTAAACTGTTTCTTGTGGCTTGCTCACTTGTGAATGCTCAGTTTTGAATGTTTTTGGATGTACTGAATGATCTTAACCAATTACTCTGGTTTTGGGAATGGATTTAACGTAGGAAAAAAAATTCTTAAAGACATTTGACTGTTTTAACTGAGCACTTTGAGAATTAGCTTGTGTTCTGATACAAAAGGGTGTGAAATGTGAAAGTTGTCCTGAAGTTGTGTCAATAACTAATTTGTGAAGACGCCTCTAAAGGGCATGGAGGCTTGGAAAGGGATTTTACGCTACATTTGCTGATCCCGTGCATTACCTTTGTGGCTAGAAGGGATGGTAGAGTATGCTGGAAGGAAAGTGGGATGTGGAAAAGAAGTTTGAGGTCTATAGACAGTCGCTTTAGGTGTTAGTGAGGACTGACTTTGCGTTTCTCCACCTTGAACTCTGAGGGATCGCTACAGGTTGTGCTTTGTAAAGTAAGTAGAATGATTTTTTTAATTTTTTTTTTCCCCTGGGGGTTATAATATAATTCTGTAGAATATAATGTTTAATGGTGGAAAACAACCCCTGAGAAGGATGCTTTCAGCCTTTCCCATAGTGGAGTGAGCTTCCCATGTACTTTGTGGAAAGCAATCGAACAAGCAGCTTCAGTGAGCCAGAAGAAAATAAATGGGAGAGTTGTGAATTTTTTCTTTTTTTTTAAAAAAAAAAACCTCTGTCCTCATAGTGGTGAGAGTCTGAAAATCTTATTGATCAGGTCAGTTGTTATTTTCTCGTATTAAGATCAATGGGAGAAATTCCCTTTCCCATTAGCTGCAGGCAGGCTGAGCACTGTACTCAGAGCATATGTTCCCCTTGTTTAAAATAAATAAATAAAAATTTTTACTTTGTTTGCTCAAAGCAAGATGCAAATGAGTAAATGCTTCTTCCTCCCATCTGTCTACACCTTTGTATTTCAGAGAGCAAGTAACTTAATATCTTTTTTTTTTTATTGTTAGTCTATGGATGTGGTTTTCAGCTTATGAGGAATATTTTGAGCTGTTTAATGCCAGCTATGAATTTTAAGTGCAGAAAAGAAACCCATAAAATTTAATAAACCTCTGGAACTTGGTCATGGGATCCTTCGAGCAGGTGAAGTAGGATGCTAATAGCTAGGTTATGATAAATGCTGCTAAAGACAGGCAATCAGAAGAAGAGGCAATAAATCACATGAGCAGGTGAGATGCTGCTGGCAACACCACCGGCAGGAATCACGGAAAACTGCTTTTTCCACAAATCCTCCCTTCAGTTTGAAGGAAAACCAGACATTGTTTATTTGTCCTTAACACAAGCATCAGTGTAATTTTGCTTCGGATCCCTCTCGATGGGAAGGGAAGCAGAAATGTTTTTTTGAGTAAATTATACTTCAACCTGACATCCCGTAAGCATAAACAGCAGTTACCTTGCGTGAAATGAATGCCATTAGCATGTTGTCTGCTGTTAGTGATTCGCCTCTTATTAAATTCCTGATGCTCTGCAGATGGTAAAGGCAGAGCTACTGAGAAGAGTTTTGTTTGATCAATAGAGCTGAACTTTTTTCCCTGGAAACTGTGTTTTTGGTGTTCTATATGATTATTTTTGTCTCTTTTCTTGTGGTTTCTGAGCCAGATACGAGTTAAATTTTCATCTAAATTATTAGCTGAGCTCATCCCCACTCTGCAGCCACATACAATGGTGAGTTCTCTCTCTCAAAACCAAACCAAAACCCAAACTTGAGGTGGTTGAGAGACATCAGCTGCAGACAGTGGGTCTGACCCGGAGAGGCTACGTGCTAACTCTTGCTGGGATGTCGTCTTAGGCTTCTTAGTGGTGCCCAGTCAAAACAATGACCTGGTTGCTTCAGAACTTTCTTGCTCTTCGCAAGTCTAACCGTTCAACTTGATGTTATGTTTTGCCTGCTTATTTTATTGTCGGTTAACCAGTTTTCTTTCCTTTATCTTGTATATGATGGGATCTCCGCTAGACAGAGGTAACGGTGGGGGACAGTTGTGTAACTGGACCCTCGTGTGGTGGTGTTTGTCAGTGGTTTTTCCTAAAACCGTTCCTAAATTCAGCCTTGCTTTCACCATGCTTCTGTGCTTGCATGACCTGGTTTCTGTGGAATAACCTCATCCATGCCTACTGTCCGTTATATTAATTCCATTTTCCTGTGTGTGTGTGCCTTCTCCTGCTGTGGTCTTAAAATGGGTCACCAGTGTGGATTTCCTAACAGTTTTATGGATCCTTTTCAGTCTTTGAAGGTTCTGCAGATCAAAGGGACTGAGATTTTTAGCTTAGTAAGGGATATGAGCTGATAAAACGCATGTGGTATTTTCTATTAAAACAGGATGTTGAAAAATAACTGGAGCAAGGAGAGAGATGGAGATTGGTATCGGTCCCGGTCCTCCTAGTGAGCTTGCTAAACACACTCCTAAATCGTGTGCTTCTGACAACTAGATGGTTTTGATAACTTTGATCATACTTTATATTAATGTGGAATAGTTCTTTCTTGGCTACAGCTACAACAGAGTATAACTAAAACGCGGTTAGTGAAATAAAATAATGTCCTTTTTGAATCGTATATTTAAAAAAAAAAATCTGATTTTCATAACACTAATCTTTCAAAGATTCAGACAATTTAAAGCAAAATGGACATAGTTTTATTTATTTGTATTTCAGATAGGCTAAACAGACTAATTAATATTGTGCAATTCCTTGTCCCTCATTTGAGATGAGGAATCACTGATCTTTGCAGAGCATTTCTGACAGATTTGAAGGCTGGAAAAGGTCCGCTGAATATGAATGGAGATAGTAGGGGTGTGTGTACGTGGAATGGCTTGTTGGTGGTAAGGATACAAATAAAGCCTTCTGTTTCTCTGTTTAATCGATTGCTTTATTTTCTCTTTTTCTGGTGTGGGTCGGATGAATAAATAGAAATTATCCCAGGAGCGAGAGAAGTTTGCCGATGAGGACAGCATATTTTATGCACTTGGAGAATGTGGACTCATTTCTTTTTCCGACTACATCTTCCTCACGACGGTCCTTTCCAGTAAGTACAGTGGTTTGGTTTTTTTCTCTGCAGTTACAGCTTTTTTTAAAAAAAGTTTTGAAGGTTTGCAAACAATGAGTTTGCTTTTGTTGTCTACATACATTTCCCTAAAAGGAATTCTTGATCGGTTGAAACTTAAGCTGAGCAGATAATTGCTATTGCTTCGTCTGGTTTAGACTTAGCTTCGAGTGGTTCAGAAAGCTAAACAGATCAATGACTTCTGAAAATTTATTTCTCACTTTAAAACATGGCATACTTTTTTTTTAATGAGTCATTTGACCTGCTGTTCAAAACTGTAAATGTCCTTGAGTTGTGTTCGTATGGTACTCTTGTGTTTGGATGAATATTGCTTTCCAGCTCTTCACTGGTTACGGGACTGTTCAAACTTTCTTCTCCAGCTGTATTTTCACTTGGGTAAGCTCAGACTTTTGTGTGATGTAATCCAACAAGAGAAGTTAAGCTGTTTACATGTCAACAAGTATCATTAGATATTTCTGTCTTTTCACCCTGCTCCACTTGACTTGTATTTGTGATATTGGTGATCTACTAATCTGTTCCAGTGAAGTCTTTTGCACTTGAAGTGCTGGCACTTGAAAGTTTGCTTTGTTGGCAAGCAACAGTGAAACTGAAGCCTTTGGTAGTGTCAAATGGCATTTCTAGACTTTCTTCATGGGGAAAGCAAGCTCAAAACCTCATTTGCAGAACTTCTCTAGCTGCTTGGAAGGTGCTGCATCACAAACAGGAAAGTCAACAGAAATTCCAGTTATTTTTCAACCCCTTTTAAAAATATGGGGTAATGGGGAATATGCCACTGTCCAAATGAACCTGAGACATTTTATTTTCAAATTTAAAAAAAAAATAAGAGGGAAAACTTGACAATCTAATCTTCTAATCTGTTTCATGTTGACTTGATTACAGGAATTAATCTGGACGTTTCCCAGTTTACTGTAGACACCCATTGCTACCTGCCCTGTGCTGTTCAGGGGATCAGCTGGGTAATTCACTGATGTTTTGTGAAAGCAACAGGTGCTTTATTTTTTTTTTTTTTTCCCCATTGGGAGTTCCCCAACGGTAATTTCTCCCATTGATCAAATATTCTTGCATGCTGTAACATGGACAAATGAGAGAGGAAGCTCTTCATTTACTGAGAATCTGTTACAGGGGAGAAGCAATGTTCAATGTCTTTGTTGTCAAATGGACGTGGTGGGGAGAGACTTGTACGTGGCCTTCATGTTGTGAAAACGGACACTGAGAGATAAAGCTAGTTCAAGCCAGGGAGTTTGTTTTAAGACTTTATTCTGCCTTTTTGTTTGACTGAGTCTCAGAGCTGACTCTTAAGACTTTTGCCGTTCCTTTCTTATGTTAGTCTAGCCTGTGCCAAAATTATCTAAGGTATTTTCACTTGTGTAGTGAAGGCTTTTCATCTGAGTCTCCACAGATGACAACGAACTCTTAAACCTATAGTATCGCACTACTGAATGTGGTGTAGAAAATGCTCATGCCCTTGGCTTTATGGCTGTGCCGGTGCCGAACAACTGCCTAATCAAGTACACAGGACGCAAAATTAATTTCTTGTGCTTCCACAGGCAGCAATAAGAGAAATTGTTCTTGCTTTGGTTTAATTTCTTCGTTGTGAGAATAAAAGAAAAGGGACCACCTTCTGTTAGAGTAACAGCCAGCCTTGTTTGGGAGGGCTATGTGGCAGGGACGAGTGTGGTATTTTTTCTTTTTTCCTCTTGTTCTTGGGTGTTTAAACATGTTTGCAATTACTGGAGAATCAGATTAACAAGAGGAGATGGAATTGGGTGGTGTGTACTTTGAGGAATGATGTGAAGGGTGGGCAAGGCAGGAACTTTCAAAAAGGGAAAATAAAAAAAGAGAGAAGAAAAAAGTGTTTGAGGACTTTTAGGCTGACTTTTAGGTGTTTTGGGAGTTTGCTGAATGGTTACTGAAGATGAAGGAATGTCTGTGGAGCTACTGTCAAACAGTGATTACCCAGAGGAAGAGTTTTGGTTTCATTTTTAAAGCATTTGCTTTTATGAAAATAAAACTCCCAAACAAACCTTGCCCTGTGGCTAGATAGAAAAATCACCGTTATGCCACGCTGGTTTACTCTGGTACGAGTAAACATTACCTTACCAGGTCTCCAGTAGTTTCTGATTTATTTTTTTTTTTCCCCTTGGGAAATAAATAAAATAGAATGAGGAAAGTACATCTTAAAGCTGACAGTTCAATGTTAGTTTTCTCACTGTGTTTAAATAACACAAACATTAAGAAAGTATTTTAAGTGCAAGCTGTAGATTATTCAAATAGGTAAAAGCCACTGAATCTTGAGCAAGGAAGGTAGCGTATTGAGCACTAAAGCAGGGTAATCAGAAGGGAGAATGTGAGTTCAGGTCTGGGAGTGGGAGGCAGGAGGGAGAGGTGCTCCTCTGCTGTGCTCAGAAGTGATGGAGAGAGATCAATCGTGGTCTGGTCTGGCTTATTGAACTCAAAGCTAATCAATGGTAACCTCTGAAAACAAGACACCTTAAGGACTTTGTGTTATTGAGCTCTTCGGAGGAGTCATGCCCAGCAAGTCTGCCGAGATGGCTCTTGCCCATCTCCCTGGCTCTACCAAAAGCACTGCTGGGCTTTGAGAGAGCTTCCCCAAACTTTTAATTTGTCTTTGTAGCTTCAGCTGAAGCTCACTTCAGTTGTATTCTCTGAAATGCAGACTGCGTGGCAGCTGCCAGGGAGGGAGAGGAGGAGAGAGGGCTGGAGGCTTCATCCGTATGTTACTCGCAGAGAGCTGTTTGCATATTGCACAGAAAATGGAGTCTGTCACCATATTTTATTTACGAGTGATTTCTTGCTTTACCACTGTCTGTTCTCATCGGTTGCCGTGTTTCTGTGAAAATATATTTTTAAAACAACTAATAAAATAGCATTTAGCTGCTTCAGAAAGTCAGCCTTCTGTTAAAGGCAATGAGAGGTGAGTGGCCGTGAGGATACCCCACGGTTTCCATTGCTTCAGCCACTCCTTGTGTTTTGGGGCGGAGGTAGAAAGACGAGCAAAATATGGAATAAGCAAAATGCTGATGGGATTTCCCCTGGATCCTTCAAATGTCATAGGAATGCAAAGACATCACTTCCCTGACCAAAGAGGCATTTGCTTTTGAACTTGCAGGACAGGTAGGGGAAGGAGAGAAAGAGCTTTTCCATCATCAGCGACTGCAATTTCAGAGCAAACATGGTCCGTTGTCCAGGCGTGCTAATGCTTACTTGATTATCAGGTACTGAAGGGACCTCGGCATTAGAAGAATAAATTGGTGTTGTTTCCATAATTGGACTGTCGCTATGTCTGGATTTACTACTCTTGGAAGGAGTGTTAAATAGCATTGTCTCAAGCCAAGGTAATTACTCTCTTGTCAGGACTCTCAAAGCAGACCTCTGCAGCTCCTTCTTCCATCTCCTGTGGGTTCTTTCTAGAGCGCAGCATCTTGCCATCCTTTATGGCAAAAGGCCTCTTGCCTAGGATAGATTGGCCTTCCCCCCGCAGCCCCTCCTGTGTAGGAAATAAATCCCAAACCATCCAGCTCTGGAAATTACTTTCTGGCTGGATGTTGAGCGCTCTGCGGGTCCATGCGATGGAGGTGGCATGACATGCTCTCCCACACTGCTTGCACGCAGGCGATGTGATCTCCAGGGTCTGTTTGTGTTGTGTCAACCAGCAATACATATTCAAAACTGCCATGAGTGTCTTCAGCCTCCTTCCCTGCCACGAGTGAGATCTGTTATCTTACCAGTGGTGTTTTAATCCTGCAAAACAGCACTAAGTGCCATAGGGCTTGTTCCTGCAAAAAAAGGAGGCATAAGGTTGCTTTGAGTTTATAGGAATATTTTTGTTTGTGGTCCTATTGATGTTAATTTTACCTTTAAACTTTCAGGACCCTCTGTTTTAGCTACATGGGTCCATCTCATCCACGCTATATGTTGCGGGGATGTCTTCAATACCTTTCTGCCAGCCCACTTGCTGCTGTGTGGGATTTCCAAGAGGTATCTGAGCAGCACAGATGTCTTCCAAGGGATATCCCAACTTCCAAACATAAGCCTGCTTGCTTCATGTCGGACCGAGGGCTCTCTGGCTCAGCATCCCACTTCTGCCATGGGCTGGTAGCCGTGCTGAAGGCCAAAAGGACAGAAACGGGACAGATTTCTCATAATTGGCCATTTGGGATCTTCTGAAGCAGAGCTTGACCTCTCCAGTTTGAAAACCAACATTAGGGCTTGGGATGCTCTACCAGCCTCTCCGCCTGCCAGTCTTTGCTTGGTCATTCTCTGTTCATCTCTTCATCCCTTACCTTTGCATGATGTGATGGGCTGATGGATCTCCACCAACCTCCTGTATCACAGAGGACAGTAAATTTGCAGTGGGGAAGGACCACTCTGCATGCAGCACTTGTTAGCCTGATTGAGAAGTTCCAGAAACTTACTCATGATTATTTCTGTAGAATTAGGAAATGGAGTAATTTTGTGTCGCTCATAGCAATATGCCAGAACCTGCAGATGTTTGGCGTGTCCTCTTTCTCCAGGGATTCCCTGGAGAACGCAGCTTCTAATGGCCTCTTCAGGAGCTGCCACTTCAACATCTTGTTTTCAGGTCCTTATTTCAGAGAGGCGTTTAAGAGGGAGTCTTGATTTCCAGCATTGCTCTGTGAGTCACGTGGTAACTGATGAGAAGCTGTTGAAAGGTAAGCCTTGTACTCCAGCTGAAGTGCTGTCACATTCTCTCAAATCTCAAACTGAGGTGTACGTTTGTCATTGATGTTAAAACCAAAATACAAAATTCGGTGTTAGAATTACTGAGTCTCTTTGGTTCACAAGCTTACAAGCAAAATAGAAAAGTGAAACAGCAGTAATTTTTCTTTATTTTTCTATTGATTAAATAGAAGTAAGATTAAAAATGGCATTATCTCGGACGTCACTCCTAGAAAAAGCGTACTGCATGCTTGGTGTGA